GGAGGTTGGGTTTAAGAGTTTTGGGTTTAGGAGTTCAGGGCTTAGGAGGCAGGGGCTTAGGAGGTAAGTTCAGAGTGTTTTTTCCTTTGCGGGCTTGTCGAGGTTTAGGTTGGGGTTGAGAGGGCATGGGGGAGTTTGCAGCTGGCAGGGTGTTACCTTGATACCTTAATGCAGCCCCTATAGACCCGAATAAGGACCCCTCAATATCCCCTAAACCCTAAACCCTAAACCTTAAACCCTATACAGCTCACCTCGCTCAAACATCCCTCAATTGCTCCCAACTCGGTTCTTTCCCTGAGGTTCTTTGCCCGAAGCCCTAAACCCACTGCTACCATTTGGAGACGGACTTCAACTACTCCGCCTTTTTGGGTTTAGGGTTTTGGGTTTAGGGATCTACATGCATATGTGTGTAGGAAAAAACATACACCCAAAAAACCAAGAGCCTTATTCAAACCCCAAACCTAATCCCTAAAGCCCCAAACCATAAACGACCCCAAGCCGGTCTGGAAAGTGCATCTGCGCAATGCCGTCACTGCTGCACTTCGCTCAAAAAAGGGAGCTGAAATTTGAGCGAATGACTTCCCAGCGAGGGCAACTCCAAAACAGATGGAGCAACGTCTCGGGCTCCTTCTTGCAGAAGGGGCAGACGGAAGAAGAGACCGTGCTCTGCGCGTGAGGCGCACGCTGCGTGAGAACACTGTGGCGCAACATTGACCGCATCACGCCCTTGTCATAAGAGCTGCAAGAGCGCGAGCGGAGCAGAGCACTTGATGCACAGTGCTGTTGTATAACCCTCCCTAAACCTTAAACCCTAAACCCTAAACCCTAAACCCTAAACCCAAAACCCTAAACCCTAAACCCTAAACCCCAAACCCTAAACCCTAAACCCCAAAGCAGAACACAAGCCTTCAGGTCCTCGGGCGCGAGTCCTCGGAGCCGGGCAGCGCAGCGCAGCAGCCTGAAGATGGAGGGGGCTAAAGGGAAGATCTGAGGAAGGGTTCGTAGCGAGTTTCTTATTATTATTATTATTATTACTATTATTACTATTACTATTATTATTGATTTTCTTAGGATTATGAAGATGATTATCATTATGATTGTACTTATGATTCTTACTAGTTATTTCTTTTGCTTGGGGGGGGGGGGGGGGGGGCTTTCAAGTTTGGGAAGGGTCTATGGGGGATTTGTGGGGAATTTGGTTCAGGAACGATTGGGGTGTATGGTGTGACAGGTCCGATTCTGAAGGCTTTGGGGTTCCGAGTGTGGGCTTCTCTAAGCGTAGACGCACTTGAAAGGGCTTGCCCTAAACCCTAAACCCTGAACCCTGAACCCTAAACCCTTGGGCTTTGGGTAGCCTGCACATCGAATGAGGCCAGTTGCTTGAGCAAAAAATGAGGGTTTGTGTGGTGTTTCCCGAGCTGCCCGACCTGCACATGAACCCCCAAGAGCTTCAAACCCTAAACCCTAAACCCTAAACCCTAAACCCTAAACCCTAAACCCTAAACCCTAAACCCCTAAACCCTAAACCCTAAACCCTAAACAGTCGACTCCTTTCTCAGCAAGGGGCGCCCTGTATGTGATTCCGAGAGCTTCCGAAGCCTTACGCAACCCTCTCTCGAAGCCCGAAGCTCCGCATTTCTTAGGGTTTTTCGGGTTGAGGCGCCTCCCCTCTCCCACCTCTCCATAAACAAAAACCCAGAATTGCATGGTTTTTGAACCAAAGATGCGTGTAGGCATAGGGGCTTTAGAGTTGGGAGATGGGGATGAGTGGCAACCCACCAAAACCCTAAACCCTAAACCCTAAACCCTAAACCCTAAACCCTAAACCCTAAACCCTAAACCCTAAACCCTAAACCCTAAACCCCAAACCAATAAACCCAAAACCCTGAACGCCTAACAAACGCTCAATAAGAAACGGCAGGACGTCGTGGTAGGCATCGGCCGAGGTCTCGAAGTGATCCTCAGGGGGAGACTTTTTGCTTGTGGTGGACGTTTAGGGTTTAGGGTTTAGGGTTTAGGGTTTAGGGTTTAGGGTTTACGGTTTAGGGTCCGCCGACCCTGGCGGCGTGTTGGATGGGAAAAGGAGGTGAAAACCTCCCTGTTTCCCTCCTTACCCCCCCAAAACGCGGGGGGGGGGGGGGGGGGTAGGGGGGGTACCCGGGCAGCTTTTCCATGCTTGCTTCAAAGCATATGAATCTTGAAACCTACATGCAAGCATTGAGTTTGCAAATGGGGGGGGCTGCGCCCCCCCCAACCCGCCCGCTGTTTTTAAGCCGTGCAAGCTTGCTTCAAAGCATATGAATCTTGAAACCCATCATGCAAGCGTTGCGTTTGCAAATGGGGGGGGGGCTGCGCACCCCCCAACCCCCCCGCTTTTTTTAAGCCGTGCAAGCTTGCTTCAAAGCATATGAATCTTGAAACCCATCATGCAAGCATTGAGTTTGCAAGTGGGGGGGGCTGCGGGTAGGGCCGCAAGCCCGAAACCCGAAACCCGAAACCCTAAACCCGAAACTTTCGGGTTTCAGGGGTTAGGGCTTCGATGCAAGGAACTCCTCGTGACCCTTGGAGAATCATGAGCCGCTATGACGGGGTTTGTCGTGTGTAGGCACCCTAACTGGGGGTCTAGGGTCCTCTGATTAGGGAGTCCGTGTGTCGGGCTTCGGGCTCAGAGGGGGTACTTCACACAGAAAGCGTCGTCACTTGCCTAGTTGCTGAGTTCAGAAGCCCCCCCAAAAGTGTACACTTTCAGCTCTATAGGGGACTATAGTATCCCAAAAAGTGTAAAGTGTACTCACGCAGCTACGAAGCTTTTTAAAGCACCCAGCAACTTTTCATGCAAGCTTTACTCGCCCCTGGCCGTTGAAATCTCCGCATGGCCGAGTGCTGCCGGAGGTCCCCATCGTCCACTTCATAGGGCCATGCGGTCCTGGGGGGTAGGCTGGATTGAAAAGGGGGGGGGGGTTGACCTGATGTGTGGGTCGATTTTGGGATCCCTTTGTGATGAAGACGGTCTATTCCGTAGAGTCTTGGGAAGTTTAGATCAGACCGCCATGGCGACCGTGTCGGCTATGGGATGGGGTCGCCGAGCGAAGTCTCCTAATCATCAAAGGGGGAGACATTTTTGGGATGTAGGGGGTAGGGATTCGAGGTTTGCCCAGTGCAACCTCAATGACGCCCATACTGAAACCTACCCCCAAAACCGGACAAGAGGTAAACCCTAAACCCTAAACCCTAAACCCTAAACCCTAAACCCTAAACCCTAAACCCTAAACCCTAAACCCTGTAGCCTAGACCATACTGTGTTCAGGGGGTATGAAATGACCAAGTTGGAGAACTGCCGCCCCCTACCCCCCCGCCCCGCAGCCCTGCCCTCCTAAGCATTGCCCAAAAGAGGGCTACCACCCTAGTATACACCAAAAAACGATACTATCGTGAGGTCGATCCCACCCACACAAAAACAATCAAAACCCTAAGCCCTGAACCCTTAACCCTAAGCCCTAAACACTAAACCCTAAGCCCACTTTTCCAAAGCGCCCCTCATCGAATTTTGGGGGGGAGCCGAGGCTTTCCGCGGAAGCTGTGCCAGGCGAGCAGCTCAGCGGCATCCTCGGCCATCTGGCTCAGTCCATGGCTCCCCTCAACTTAGGGCTTAGGGTTTAGGGTTCAGGGCTTCAGGGGTTCAGGGGTTCAGGGGTTTAGGGTTTAGGGTTTAGGGTTTAGGGTTCAGGGCTTCAGGGGTTTAGGGTTTGGGGTTTGGGGTTTAGGGGTTTTAGGGGTTTTAGGGGTTTAGGGGTTTTAGGGGTTTTAGGGGTTTAGGGATTTGTAGGGTTTAGGGTTCGGCGGGCTTTCTAACCTTGGGGTGCCCGTCTTGGGGTTCCCGTTGTTATGGGGGGGTGGGGGGTAAGCCGACAGGTAGCCCTAGGAGGCTCCTTAAACCACAACAGGGATCCTAGTGGCGGCTCACCGGACCCTACACCCTTACTACTTGGTGGCCCCAGGAAACATGTTAGAATCAGGGTACCCTTTTTTCGGGTTGATGACTTTGTTGACTTGAAAAGGGATCCTTGAGCCAAAAAACGGGAAAAAGGGTACCACCGGGCTACCAAGATTATAGCCCATAGCCATTAGTTTTGGAGTGAAGCTCTGCGAACGCTGACGCCTGGAAGCGGGTTCTTGGGGCCTGGGCGGGCTAGATGGTAGGCCCTCGGGGTCAAGGTTTAAGGTTTAGGGTTTGGTGGGGGGTGGGTGGGTGTCTATTAAACAAGTAGACACCGCCGGAGATATACTAGATCCGAGACCCCCTTGATTCATGAAACTGCTGTAATGATAGGAATTCCTTGCAATTTGGGGGGGGGGGGCCAGCAAAGAGCCCATGATACAGATCCAAAGCACTCTCCAAGCGGAGGTGACACCTAGAAGTCTTACCGAATCTTCTTCCGGGTTCTGTTCCTGTAGTTGCGGAGCCCCTTGGCCCCGTCTTCCCCCCATTCTTATCGAGTTCGGTTGCCTCCCAAACCACATAATTACAACTCAACCCTGTTTACGGTTCAGGGTTTAAACCCCTACTTGTGAGTGGACGTGAACGCCGGAGAAGGCTTGGAGGCTTGGGGCTCTTGGCAACTTCCTGGGGGTTACGACAATAGGTGACGCCTAAAGTAGTCCCAAATAGTAGGATTCCCTGGTAATAAGGACCCCAAAAATAAGGTACCACCCCTAATATCGCAAACCCCCCACCCGCTGTTTGCTGATGCTCGGCCGTCTTTGGCATCGACATACCTCGAATAGTCCGGCCTACAGATCCCCAACGCAACCCCCTGTTTCACCTGGAAACCTTAAAACCTGCCTACACCCTAAGCCCTGCCCTAACCCCAAACCCCCTGAACCCTAACCCCAAACGCTAAACCCTAAACCCAAGACCCCCAAACCCTACACCCTAAACCCGAAACCCGAAACCCTAAACCCTAAACCCTAAACCCTAAACCCTAAACGGATTCCCATGCTCAGGAGGTGTCCGTGCCTATCTCTGACTCCGAGTCTGACTCCGAGTCCTCATTCGGTGGTGCTCCACAGCCAGTGGTGGTCATGAACCTGAGGGTTTAGGGTTTAGGGTTTAGGAGTTTAGGGTTTAGGAGTTTAGGAGTTTAGGAGTTTAGGAGTTTAGGAGTTTAGGAGTTTAGGAGTTTAGGAGTTTAGGAGTTTAGGAGTTTAGGAGTTTAGGAGTTTAGGAGTTTAGGAGTTTAGGAGTTTAGGAGTTTAGGTTTAGTTTAGGTTGAGGGGGTTGTGAGTTCTCGGTTTGAGAGTTGAGGGTTCTAGTGTTCTACGGTTCTAGGGTTTTAGGGTATTAGGGTTCTAGGGTTTTGGGGTTGTTCAACAGTTTTAGGGTCGAGAGATCCCAGGAAGCTTACCTCACCTTCCGGACTTTCAAAGGGGGTCTTAGAATACGTAGAACTCCTATTTTGCTTAAGAACCCCCCCCCCAAAAAAAAAAAAAAAAAACAAAGGATAATCATGTTGCCCTTGTGAGGAAGAACACTTCTTCACTCTTTTGGGTTCGTAAGCGAATAGTACAGAAAAAGGCAAAAGTTGCCTCAGAACCTAAGCAGCAGAGTGCGGAAGCCCCGAGCCAGAAACATCTGGAGTAGGTAGAGCCCGCAGGGAAGATTCGCAGTGCGTCGGAAACCCAGCATCACGAACGCAAGCATCGTTGAGTAGGCTATGGGTGGAATCCTTGGTAGCCCATTAACCATATTCTAATAAGGGCACCCTTTTTTTGGGTTGATTATCTTATAAGGGAACCCATAACAAGAAAAAGGGAAAAGGCTACCACTGGGCTACCAAGAATCAGAAACCACGTGCTGGTGCTATCATAAGAGAGATACCCATTCAGCTGGCATTTAACCATTGCCGGCGTGATGAATGCGAGGTACACCGTGGCACACTTCTGTATGACCAGGTAAATGTAGCATCGCTCATCTCCTATACTGCTTTCAGCACGTCTCTGGAACAGTGTGAAGATCTACATTTTCACCAAGCCTTAGTGGTATCATATTAATATTGGTATACTTGGCTGCACTCAGAAGGGTAGCTAGAAATTAAACTTTTAGCTGCCTTGTTAAGAAGTCCAATAAACCCAAAAAAAGGTAAGGATCTAAAGTTACGGTAAAGTACCACAAAGTATAAGTCCGTTTCAAGATCCACTCAGTCGCGTGGGGAGCAGCGGATCTTCAGCAGCATGATCACACGCTGCCTATACTGAACTTGGAACCCTTGCAACAACGATAACTTCAGCTGTTTCTTCGGAATTCTACCACCCTAAACCCTAAACCCTAAACCCTAAACCCCAAACCCTAAACCTAGCACCCAAACATGGTTCCCAAGCATCCCCGAAGCTACAGGACGGTTGTGGCCCTCAGCGGGAGCAGCCTCGCGAACCACTCGGGGTTGGAATCCCTGAGGTAGATGGAGTCGAAGATAAGTGTAACCTTGGGGTAGCCCAGGACCGTTAGGGTTTAGGGTTTAGGGTTTAGGGTTTAGGGTTTAGGGTTTAGGGTTTAGGGTTTAGGGTTTAGGATAAGTGTAACCTTGGGGTAGCCCAGGACAGCCCTATTCTCTTCGGGTACCCTTTTTGTTAGGGTTTAGGGTTTAGGGCTTAGGGTTTGGGGTTTAGGGTTTAGGGTTCAGCATCTCAAGTTCGAGCATTTACTAGGCCAGCACTGTGTGTAGGCAACGGAAAAAAACCATCCGCCCAAAGAATCCCATAACATTACGACAATAGAAAGTGTGTTTTTGTTTGTTCGTGTTGAACAAGTGGGGTTAAAGGCGTCAGAGGGACCAAAATGGATCGAATCCCCTAATTCGTGCCGAACAATGGGGGGTCAAAGGGGTCAGAGGGGCCAACATGGATCAAATTGCCTAATTCGTGCTGAACAATGGGGGAGGGGGTAAAATTGATCAAGTTGCCTAATTCGTGTTTAACATTTAGGGTTATATGGTTTAGGGTTTAGGGTTTAGGGTGAAACAACAGAAAGGGCAACAGGGTACCACTGGGCCACCAAGTATCGAAAGTCAACATGAGAAATGGCCCCAGCAGCAGCATCGGCAGTGCAATCGCTGGATTGGCAGCTTGATGAATGCCTTGGTTGCTGGGTTCATGCACACCCCCCCCCAAAAAAAAAAAAAAAATAAATAAGTGTACACATTCAGTTTTAGAGGGGGTTATAGTACCCCAAAAAATGTAAAGCCCACTCACTCAACTACGAAGATGCAGACGCCCCTGGCAGCAACCTCGCGCAAGGTCGGCGTGGACATCCCAGCGGACATGAGGACCTCTGGCCAGGGTTTCGGGTTTAGGGTTTAGGGGTTGAGGGGTTAAGGGGCTTAGGGGTTTAGGGGTTTAGGGTTTAGGGTTTAGGGTTCAGGGTTGCAACGTGGAAGCAACAGGACACCAAACGCAAAGTGCTCTGCAGCGCGGCAATAAACAGGACACCGAAAGATTTAGCAACTACCATTCCTATTCCTTGAGGAGAAACCCAGAAACCAAAAAAGGGTAAAGGGTACCACTGGGCTACGAAGTTAGTTGAAGGGGGAGCATCCCAAGGATTTAGGGTTCAACAGTTCAGCTTTCCAGGGCGCCTGGATGGCATAGTCCACGGCCTCGACCGTGCCTCCGATCTCTCTGCGGATAGCCTCGTCGTCCTCCGGGCGCGAGCACGTCGCGTGCACGATGGAGCCCGTGTATCCTGGAACGCCGAGGACTCTAAACCGAGGGTTTTTCGTACTGCTTGCAAAGAGAAGGCTGCGAAAAGACGCTGAAGGAAACAGGGTTTCTTGCAAAACTATAAGCCCTAAACCCTAAACCCTGAACCCTAAACCCTGAACCCTAAACCCTGAACCCTAAACCCGAAACCCTAAACCCTGAACCCTAAACCCTGAACCCTAAACCCTGAACCCTAAACCCTAAACCCTAAACCCTAAACCTTGCCTTGCTGACCTAAACTCACGAAAGCCTTTGAAAAGCAGTTTTTCCCAAAATCATGGCAAGGCTCCTCTTGCGAGCTGCTGCGCTTCCCACCCCGTCACCTCGCCTGGGGCAGCAGCATGCTGCTTAGGAGTAGAAACACGCATGTTTAGGGTTTAGGGTTTAGGGTTTAGGGTTTAGGGTTTAGGGGCCTGAATAGTTAGAATAGGGTTTTGGGGATTATCATAGTGTATAACTGTATAACTATAAGGGGGCCATGAGGGAATACTACTAGTAATTATTCCAACCCCTATATTAGAAGCACGCATGCTTGACAACACACCTATTGGTTTTTGATTCTGCTGATAATAACAAATGATTCTATTAGATTAATATTTTATGATAGCAAAAGCCATCTTCAAAGAGGAACGCTTCCAAGACAATGGCATAAGTGCTGGATCGGAGCCGAAATCTTCAGCTTCCCAGGGTTCTCCCCTGACGATGACTTCTTTTTGACTTGTACTCTGAACTTGGCAAGTAGCTAGGGCCCCCAAAGTCTTAACCCTGACCCCTCGACTTCGGGGCTGACATACGGGACGCCTGCTATAGTCCCTCAACTAGTAGGATCCTCTTAAAAAAAGGACCCCAATAAGGTGCTGGAGTCCCATAAAATAGTAGGACCCCCCATAAAATCAGGACCCCAGTTTGGTACCCTTGATGTTGTAAAACCCCTCGAGTGGAACATGTTCGGCCCGGGTGCTGTTGATGCGGTCCACTTCCAGCAGGAAGAAGGTGGCGGCGAGACATACGATCCATGCACGCTGGGTCCTTGGTTTCTTGGCAACCTGGGGTTGACATGTGTCATGTTAGAAGTAAGAAAGATATGATTTAGCACAACATATGAAAACAATAACATAAGGAAGAAAACAGAATAGCACAAAGACATTGACTGCTCTGATGGTATATGTACACTGATCAGAACGTAGCAAGGGTGTCGGGTGTACTTGGAGGTTCATGGTTCTTAACCATTATACCTGTACTTCTGACTGTACTTATAACCATACTCGGGCACTTAAGGGCCTTATAAGTGCGTTAGAAGTACAGTTCTAATTGGCTAATAAGTACCATGAACCTCCAAGTAGGGTTTAGGCCTGGGCCGTGACGCTGCAACCCCCTCGTTTTTGCCTATTGGGGTTTATTGGGGGTTTACCCTACTTTGGAGAAGACCATGGAAAAAAGTATATACTTTTGGGGTATAAGTAGGTGTACTAGGACCCAGAACCAAAAGAGTATTAGATAATAGTACTCCGAAACCCAGACAAAGGGGGTTTTGTTGGGGGTTAGTGAGGTTCTGAGTTTAGGAGTCGTAGTGTTTTGGGGACCAACTTTGTCTTAGTTGCTGAGTTCACGAGCCCCAATGTACACTTTCAGTTCTCTCGAGGGTCATGGTCCCCCAAAAAGCGTAAAGTGCACTTATTCAGCTACTAAAGCATTTAAGGTGGTTTCTTAGGGATTCCCTAAACCTTAATCCCTAAACCCGTTACTAAACCCTCAACCCTAAGGCCTAAACCCTAAACCCTCAACCCTAAGGAAGAAAAGAGCTCCACAGGAGGTCCAGGCACACGGCGGCGACGTAGTCAAGGAAGGGACTTGGATGTCGCGAGTACAGGCCACCGACTGTGTCCCACCTGGGTGCGCGGGCAGCTGACGAAACAGAAAACCCTGAAACCCTGAAACCCTGAAACCCTGAAACCCTGAAACCCTGAACCCCAAAACCCTAAAACCCTGAACCCCTAAACCCCACAACCCTAAAACGCGAAAATCTTAAACCCTAATGGCAGCATTGTCTGTTGCCCCAAACTGGGACAGAAGCCAACAAGAAAGATACATCACGGAGAAGTCGGGAGACTCTACAACCAGATACCAGCACATGACTTCGCCAATGAAGTTCAAGGCAACGCGGAGAGTGTTCCTGGCTTTCGCAGCAGGCGATGTAATGGGGTTCAGGGTTTAGGGTTTAGGGTGTAGGGTTTAGTAATGGGGTTCTTAGTGATGGTTCAAAGCCCTAACCCACCCCCTGATGTCTCATTCAGGAAAAACTTACTTAGCCAGTAACTAAGGTACAACAAGCTTGAACTTTACTATTCCCACTTAAAAGGTCAACTATTGGCTAGGGAAGAAAGAACCCCCTCCACAGACCAATGAGACCAAGAAGATTTGCAGAGTTGACGCTGGGCTTCTTGGCCGTGACCATGCTGCCAACACCAGCTATAGCTGCCACGCATGTCACTCCCAAGTTCACATACCTTGTCCAGCCTTGAAAGTCTAGCAAGACTGCCAAGGCTGAACCCACAAAGGCGGCCAAGGCCATGTACCACATGGCGTTGCAAACCCGCCGCCAGTTCGAAGCTCTTGCAATCAAGATGATTTTGCCCTGCTCCTGCGCCAAATATGCTTCGTACGCGCACCACAGCCGCGTGTACACGGAGCAGAGGCGGTTTGGCACCACCAAGACGGTCGTCGAAGCTTCGAGCGCAACCGCGAAAGGTGAATGGCGAGGCGACTGAAGCATGGCTGCGATGTCTAGATGCTGTGGATTCCTTAAAGTAGCCCAATAACCATATTACAAAAAGGGCACCCTTTTTTTAAGTGAATTACTCTTTAAGGGAACTCAGGGCCAAAAAAAAAGGGGTAGAGGGTACCACTGGGCCACCAAGATTCGCAAGCATGCAGCACCAAGCATGACGAGCGTGCCGCGGCCGTGAGTGCAGCACCTTGGACAGGAACTCGAAGATGCCCTCCTTGGTGGCCCGGTAACCATGATACAGTTAATGCACACTGTTTCCCTAAACTCCTATGAACCCTAAACCCCAAACCCTAAACCCTAAACCCCAGCCCCAAAATCCAAAACCCACACCCTAAACTCCTAGACCCCACACCCTAAACCCTAAACAACAATGGGTGCCGAGCTGGGCTACCGAGGCTCTTGCCAGGCGTGGCTGATGAAGACGTCGCAGTCGAGGCCCTCGGGATGTCCTGGAGGTTCTGAATGTTAAGGGTTTTAGGGTTTAGGGCTAGGGCTTAGGGTTTAGGGTTTAGGGTTCAGGGTTTAGAGTTTTGGGTTTTGGTTCTCCCCCCTCTTGGAATGCTGCAAGAACACTCTTGGTTTCCTTGGCTTCGTACACGAGAACAGTGGGAGACAAAAAGGGTACTACTTGGGCGTCTGAGTGTCTCATGAGCGCCCAGCTCATCTTGCCTGCCCGTTGCGTGATGGGCTTGATGTGCTGATCGGTAACAGTGTAGATGCTTGGACCGTAATTCTCAGCTGTGCCCAGGAAGTCATCTGACCCATCGTCAGGGGGCGTTATCTCTCCGTTCTTGATGGCCTGCCGCACTTCCTGTTTGAGGTACTTCCTCACTGGCTGGGTACTTCAGGGCAAAGAAGAGGTTTCAACAATCAAGCTTGCACTGCCCCCTCAAAAAAGCTTACCTGGGCTCCATCTACCTACCGTCTTCGGGGCTATGCCGTAGCTGATATTTGGAGGGTTCTAACCTGCTAAGTTGTAAGGGTTGGGAGTTACAGACCCCAAACCCTAAACCCTAGACCCTAAACCCTGAACCCGCAAAAGCTGACTCAGAGCCCAAGCTGCAGATCCGCCCAGTTCACGCACCAGCGATCGGGCGAGACCGACTCGTGCAGGGAGATGGCGCGCTCGGTGTGTCGCCGCTCTCCTCTCTCCTTGGTTTACGGTCTAAAGGTTTAGGGTTTAGGGTTTAGGGTCTAGCATTTAGCATTTAGGGTTTTAGGGTTTGGGGGTAACCCCGCAACAAAAGTTTAACTTTTAGCTCCCTTAATATGAAATTAGAGGAACCCTAAACTTATACACTGAAAACATTATAGTAAAGTCCCACCTAGTCTCGGAGTCGTTGTCGGACGCCATCCGGACGCAGACCCGAGCATCATCGGTTTTGGCGTTGAGGGTTTAGGGGTTTGGGGGTTTGGGGTTTAGGGCTGAGGTTTTCGGGTTTCGGGACTTACTGGCCGAGCATGTTTATCCCAGGTCGAAACGCCTAGCCTCCAGATTTTTGGGGGGCCAACTTGTACCAAAGCAAGCCAAAGGCTACCCAGTCAGCATGGAAAATTAGACCCAGGAGTAACCTAGCAAGAAAAAGGTACCCTTCGGGGGTCTAAGGGGACTATAAGAGAACCCCGACCCCTAAAAAAAAGGAAATAAGGGCCTACTCCCAGTCCTAAACCCTAAACCCTAAACCCTAAACCCTAAACCCTAAGCCCTAAGCCCTAAGCCCTAAGCCCTAAGCCCTAAACCCTAAACCAGCCCGAAACCTTGACACCTCAGATGCAAACGCCGCTGAAGGGGCACTCCGCTGGTCACCTGCTCTAGCCCAAGGGAGGAAATCTCACACCGACCGCTTAGGGCTTAGGGCACTCCCCCTTGAAGCCCTAAATGCTCAATCCTTCATGTTGACCTGGAATTTATAATAACCCCCCCCCCCCCCCTCCCCCGTCTAAATTGTTTGTTGTTTTCGCCCCGACACCCCTATTGACCTATTGAGCCGGGGGGGGGGGGGGGGGGGCTGTCACGAGCCGCCCCCACGCCCCTGACCTACCCAAAAGGGCCCATAGAAAAAAAAAAATCGGTCCACGGGCCGAGATTCCTTAATTGAGGGGTTGAGGGGGGGGGTTAATAATTGAGGTCCGGGGCTCGGATTCCTTAATTGAGGGGGGGTTAATAATTGAGGTCCGGGCTTCGGATTCCTTAATTCAGGGGGGGTTTCTAGATATGAGGTTAACATTAAAGCCTTGAACCCGAATCTCTAGCAGCTGTAAGGCCCTACGTCCCCCAAGCCCTCAACCCCTTGAACAGCTCCGGGTTCACCAGGAGTGTACTCCTGAAAGCCCATGTGAAGTAGGGTTTAGATTCCGAGAATCCCGGAAGTCTCCGAAGAGCCCAAAAGGACCCCAAACCCTAAACCCTAAACCCTAAACCCTAAACCCTAAAGCCTAAAGCCTAAACCCTAAACCCTAAACCCTAAACCCTAAACCCTAAACCCTAAACCCTAACTTCTAAACACACCCACCAATAACGGTCGTAGAGACACCCCCGGCTTCATGTGGGGTTCTCGCTCGGGTCTCGGGCTGCCTCCGCTCTGTTTAGAGTGACGACTTGTGGCTTTCAAGGGTTTAGGGTTTAGGGGTTTAGGGGTTTAGGGGTTTAGGGTTCAGGGTTTAGGGGGACGCCGAGAGGATTTCTTTTTTTGGCTGCGAAATCGAGGGTGCTCAAGCTCTCAGCACCTCATCATCGATGGATGATAGGTCCTGGGTTTAGGGTTTAGGGTTTAGGGTTTAAGGTTTAGGGTTTAGGGTTTAGGGTTTAGAGTTTAGGGTTTAGGGTTTAGGGAACGCCTGGGCCTGAGACCTTCCGTTCGTGGGGACCTCGACATGAGCAATGATAGGACTCCCGGATTTTTTGGACAAGGGGTCGCATGTCGATAGTAGTCTATAGCAAAACAAAACCACCACATGATAAAACCCAAAACCCTAAGAAGATGACGTAAGAAAACCCTGAAACCCTAAATATCAACTAAACATCACATAACGTAACCCTCAAACCCTAAATCAACCAAAAAAACCCTGCGCGTGAAAGCCATAGTAAGAATGAAGGAAGCGCTCAAACCCTAATCCCAAAACCCTCAACCCTAAACCCTCAACCCTAAACCCTCAACCCTAAACCCTAAAACACAAAGACATCTTCAGGGGCTGCCACATGGACCAGCGCTGCTAGCTGCTGCCTTGGCCAGCAGCTTCCAAAAAAGGATATGAAGGAGGGTTTCTATTTCTTGTACCCCCCCCCCAAAAGGACACCCAATATATACACTCACCAATATTAAAGAGGGAACCTTATATACACTCAGCAATAACAGCAATATCAACCCTGCTTCATATCGCAGCCAAGAAGGGGACTCTTTGGGGTTTAGGGCCTTACACGGGGTAGAGGCCAGGGGTTGGGGCTTAGGGCTGGGGTTCTGTGGGGCTCTGAAGGTTTTAGGGGGCGGCGCGCCTTGCTCAGCATCTTGTAGTCTCTGTGTGTTACTCGGCAGGTTTCCGTACATGAAAGGTGTCAAACACTTCAAACACGGATCCCTAAGTCAAAGCAACCCCCCATCTCCCCTAACCTTTGCCCCTTTGCACCCGCAAATCCCCCTAAGCCCTAAACCCCAAACCCCAAGCCCTAAAACCTACCTTAGGACACTCCTGCGAGAAAGTGGGCCACCGGACTGCAATCCATCGACCGCCTGGCAGAAGGCAGGGGGGGCTGGTACTTTGGTCTAGGGCTTAGGTGTAGGGCAGCGTGGGGTTGAGTTAGAGGATGCAAAAAGCACCTAACTCAGGATTCCCCAAACTCAGAGCAAGCCCGCCCTCCCAAAATATGCACTTGACGGCTTCTCGAGCCCGGATTGAAGTTAAGGTGCCTGATTCCGGTTACCCTAAATTCTAGGGGCCCCCAAATCCTAGCCCTAAGCCCGCCCTAAACCCTAAACCCTAAACCCTAAACACTAAACCCTAAACCCTAAACCCTAAACCCTAAACCCTAAACCCTAAACTCTCTGACTCTGTGATGTTTCGCACTTACACTTGACATTCCCCTCCTGCTCTTGCGAAGCCTACGTGTGAAGGTAGAGGAGCCTTGGGAGGCGCTCCAAACCCTGCAACAGCTCCACCAAAAACGCTTGAAAAACAGAAGACCTAAAGTCCAAACCCAGATTGAAGAGAGGCCTCTGAGACCCCCCAAAATCATAACAAAACTCGAAGCCCCGAAAGCAACCCACAACCACACCACAGGCAAAGACACCATGGACTCCAAACCCTAAACCCTAAACCCTAAACCCCAAAACCCAAAACCCTAAACACCCAACACCCTAAACCCTAAACCCTAAACCCTAAACCCTAAACCCTAAACCCAACTCGACTGTCGCTTCGGCCCAGCTATCGCCTCGAGCACCGCACCGCGGCGCGCCGTTTCGAGGCGCAGCCTTTGGGAGCTGCGTTTTCATGCGACTTTTTGTTGGTTTAGGGTTTAGGGTTTAGGGTTTAGGGTTTAGGGTTTAGGGTTTAGGGTTTAGGGTTTAGGGTTTAGGGTTTAGGGTTTAGGGTTTAAGGCTTAGGGTTGAGGGTTTGGGGCTTAGGGTTGAGGGTTTAGGGCTTGGGGCCTACGGGGGTTGTGAGGGGCTTCTGAAACCCCCTCGAAACCCTAAGCTCTCCCTCTCTTTTGCACTTTGGCCCTTCTGTTCAATCTTGCGTGGGCCTAATGTCTAAGAACTCATGTCGCAGAACCTCCATGATCCCTGGTGACGAACTTGTAGCAAGGCTTCGACCGGCTGTGGGGGTTTAGGGATTTTTGCACTCATGGAGTTTACAAGGTTTATAGGGTTTTTTTAGGGGTGAGGAAGTTTTTAGGGTTTGTCGCTGTTTAATGGGGTGAGTCGGGTTGTACAGAGCTGAAGAGGGTGTAGCAAATCAATAAGGCTTAGCAGGGGTCTACAGGGTTGAGGAAGCTTAGCCAAATCCCGAAAGCCCGAAACCCAAAACTCTCCACCCCTCACTCGACCCAATCTCGAAAAGCCTAAAACAACCTTCAGCCCCCTCAAGCCCCTAAAGCCCCCGCTCCCCTAAGACCCCCCCCCCCCCCAAAAAAAAAAAAAAAAAAGGACCTGAATCGCCCCTTAAAAACTCGACTAGCTCTACACCCTATAGGCCCTAAACCCTAAACCCTAAACCCTAAACCCTCAACCCTAAACCCTAGACCCTAAACCCAAAGGACCGCTTCATGGTTTCCCTTGCGATCTCCTCACTGGGCACCCCCGCCGCTCCCAACCATCCTTGGACCATGGGCCATGGGTTGAGGGACTGAAAGGAAAAAACCTTATGAACCCAAACCATCCGAGGGTTTAGGGTTTAGGGTTTAGGGTTTAGGGTTTAGGGTTTGGGGGACTTAAGGAGGGACCCCAAACCCTAAACCCTAAACCATCCTAGGTTTCGCCTTGAGGGCTTCGGGTTTAGGTTTTAGGGGACTACAAAGGAGGGACCTTATAAGCCCTAGTCCATCCCAGGTTTGGGGTTGAGGGTCTAGGGGTTTACGCCCTTTAGGGCTTCACCTGAACTGGGATCCCCCAGGCGTGACAAAGGGGCGGGATGCCAAGTCGAAAGCTTTGCGGAAATCGTAGGAGACCTAGGCCGAAGACTCAAGAGCCATGGGCTAAAGGAAAGGCCAACGGCTCAAGCACTGCGCCCACGCCTGCATCCGCAGACTTCTGGACCCACCCATTCCTCTTGCCAGCGAAGCGCGCTGACACAAAACGCGCCTCTTTGACCATAGACGGTATAGCCCACTCAACACCGTTATGGGCCTATGGTCAGTCGCCTTGGGATCCACCAGTGAAGCATCCTTGGGTATGAGCGACGTGTACGCCAGCAACATAGAGGTCGGCCAACGACCCGTTGCTTCGACCCACCGGACGTCCAAACTAGGTGCGCTAGCGGATGTCTCGAGTGCCACCGTAGCGAGGAAAACCCCCGTCTAGGCTTAGGGCTCAACGGGTTTAGGGTTTAGGGTGTAAGGTTTAGGGTTGAGGGTTGAGGGTTCGAAGCCATGTGAGTTTTGCCAACCGTTTTCGAGACCCGAACCCTAATCCCGAAAGTCCAGACCAGCTCTCCTACAACACCCTATTCTTGACGTACTTCTCCGAGATATCACTACCCATGCCTCTAAGTTCAAGCCACAACCCTGAAGAGCACCAGAGATGGGTAGGGCCGGGTCTGTAGCATGGGATACACTCCGTGTGAGCTTTCTGCGATGGCTTACCTTCTCAGCACCCCAAGCAACACCCGAATTCGCCGTCACGGTCTGCAAGTTCTTTGAAG